TATTTCTCTCATTTCAACTTTTTGAAATATTTACGTTCCATTCCTCTACTCTGAGCCACACCTTTGTTTTGCCTTAGATCTGCAACTGAAGATATTAAAATCTCTCTGCCATTCTTTTTGCTAAAATATTTTTTGCTATCCGTTGGTTGGTTGGCATTAGTCCTCTAGAAGGTTCCTCAAGAATGAAATATTTGCAGATAAAATGGGAAGACATCTCGGATCTGAGCTCACAGTTGCTATAGCTCCGCCCCTTGGGTTATTGCAATGGGCCCATGAAGATTCATTGTGTTCTATATTTGTGTACAGCGTTTTCTATTTATAAAAAAAGTTAGGGGTGCCTGGGTGGTTCGGTTGGTTAAGTGACTGCCTTCGGCTCGGGTCATGATCCCGGAGTCCTGGGATCGAGTCCCGCATCAGGCTCCCAGCAACATGGGGAGTCTGTTTCTCCCTCTGACCTTCTTAGCTCTCATGCTCTCTCTCACTCTCTCTCTCAGATAAAGAAAGTTTTTTTTTTTTAAAGTTAGAAAGTTAAAATTAAAACTTTATTATTCTTATTTCATTAAACAATGTTATTTTGTTAATTAACTTAAATTTTAATTTAGCTAAATATGCTAATGTCAGTTCCTCCCTTCTGATCATTGTATTGTGGTTGTGTGAGACGCAAACATCCACAAGGGAAGGCTGGGGGAGGAAGATAGAGAAACCTCCCTATCCATTGTAAAGCCCTTGTATTTATGACATTGGAGGCTGTTGGGAATCCAAAGTTCAGATCTGAAGTAGAACTTCCCAGGCATCAGCGGGACATTCTTGTGGAGAGGGTCGGGCCGGGGACTCACCCAGTTTCTTCTGTTCAGGAGCCTGGCCTTTCTTCATATAAGTGTTGGGCTCACCTTCGTAGCCGTGAACTGAACTAACTTCAAGAAGGTTCTACAGGCAGCCTTCTTTCCCCAGTTGTGGCCTCCAGGGGTTCAGCTCTTGCCTTTCCAAGGGCTCTTTTGTCTCTTGGAAGGTGGTCCTCTTCTAGAGAAGCCCCTCTGGAGTTCCTTGGGCTTATTCCACTTCTTTCTTCAGCTCCTCAGGTTCAAGTTCTGTCCCAAAGAGTTCTCACTCAGAGGGCCATCTCATCCCGGAAGTGAGTGTTGCTGGCAATGTCCGAGACGCCTGCTACCCAGGCCCTTCCCATCCCCTGCTCTTCAGCACTGGCCTGTCTTCCCCTGGGTTCACCTGCTTCTGAATTTGCATGGTTTCCCAATCCCAATCTCCTGATTTCTCGAAATTAAGTTTGACCTCTGGGCGTTGGTGAAGGCCTGCCTTTGTCCTCCTCCTCCTCCTCCATATGGTTTCAAGGAGGAGAAATGGGACTATCCAGAATTAAGCCGCTGCCTTGTTTCCTGAAGACCCAGCAGTCTGGCAGGCTGAGCTGGTGCTGTTTTTACAGAGAATCTGTATCCACTCTTCACCTGCTCCTCCCTGCCCTCACCCTGGGAACCTGCCCTTGTGAGCTGCATCACTAGGGCTCCTGAGGCCTCAGCCCCAGTTAGGTTCAGCCAGTGGGGGATGTATCGGGAGAGCAGAGAGGGCGAGGAGAAGTATTTATCCCTCCTGCGCCCTCCTTGCTTGGCATGGTTTGGCAGAGGCTGTGTTCCTCTGCTGCTGCTCCTTGTCTGATCTTCTCCTAAAGCCACAGCTCTCCTTGGCGTCTGTACGGGCTCTCCTTTGCCCCTCCCAGGCCCAGGGAGGTAACCGCTCTCGCTATTAAAGGTCCCTGGGCACCTTGCCATCCTTTGCTGTTCTCTTAAATCTGCCCACAGCTTTGTGGGCATCAGATACCCCCTTGATGTGCCCTCCGTTTTTCCACCGGAACCTGGACTGTCGGCCATGGATGTGTAATGTTGACATGCCAAGGAAGTCCTTCTCTGCTGGCCCACAGACTGTCGCTAGGAGTCTGGATTTGGTTCCCTGTAACCGGAAGGGGTTGGTGTGCGCAGGGTTTGTAGGCTGAGTCTATCCTGTGAGCTCAAATCCAGGAAGCAGAAGGAGGAGAAGACAGAAGGACAGGCAGCCATGACACTTGACATTCGGGACATCTGCAGTTCAGCTCACATGAGTCGTCCTGCTTTGGACACAAGATAGCCCCAAGTATTGGAGTACTTAAAATCAACATTCTTTGTTTTTATTTTTCAGGACTGGTCATTGTTAAGTTGGCAAATTGTTATTTGAAAAATTAGCTCTCTGTGACTTGGTGACGCAGCCAGTGGGTCCTTTGCCAAACTGGGTTGCTGAGCACATTCTACTTGGAGGATTAGGAGGCTCCGTGGAAGGCCTGAGTGTCCAGCCCCGATGGCTGGGCTTCATCTTCTGACTCAGGACAGGCTGACAGGTGCCTGTGTTCAAGGGCTGCTCCACGGGGGCCCAGTGTGAGTCAGGCCTCTTCCAAGACTTGGGATGATTCTCTCCTGAGTCGTCTTCCACCTCATGGAGGCAGTGAGGTCGCTCCCTGCAGGAGCTGCTTGAGCTCAGCCCCTCCCACCAGCATCCAGCCCTGGTCAGAGGGTCTTGCACGGGGTGGACTGGGAGAACAGGGAGCTGGTCACAGCTAGAGCTGGAAGACCAAGGGGGGTTGGACCTGGGCCAGAGCACCAAGGTCCAGGCCCCCAGGCTGGTCCTGGGCAGCTTGGCCTCTCCAGGTCCCTTGCTTTCTCCCTGCTGGGTATTAGGGATCTTTGTCTGGACCTAACCTTGCCAGCAGATCTGGGGCCATAATGTGTTGTCACTGGAGTCAGGGTGCTCGTACCTGGGCAGTACAGGGTCTCATGGGCAGGGAGGGTGACATGGCAAGGGCAACAGTAGCCTGACAGTGGAAGAAAAGTGTATCCAGAAGCTATGCTGGACTGAGCTCTGGACTGGCACTGGGACCAAAGTCCTGCTGAGGGGCTGAGCCCTAACAAGGGTCTATTGAGGAGCTAGTGATCTCCTGAGGAGATGGAGAGGAGTACCCTAGCATGGGCACAGGTAGGAAGGGGTCTGTAGAGTCTGGAAGCCATTCCAGAAATGCTGAGTGACACCACCATCCATGTGGCACATGGAGCAGGCACAGCGAGGACCCCTGTGGTCCTGGGGGACCCACACAACCTCAGAGGAAGGGGGTTTGATGGGTCCAAGGAAGTTCCTGTGGGTCTCTCAACCTGATTCCCACCAGGTGTGTCCTAGAAGCTGCCCTCCAACCCCCACTGCCAACACAGCAGTGCTGCCTGAGCAGAACATTCTGGTATTTGGCTGTGATAAGGGGAAAATGGAGTCTCGGGGACCTACTTAAGCTCCAGAGCCCCTCACTTCACAGCCTCCTGTGAGTCTACAAGGTCACACAGGGCCATCTGTAACACTTGCAAGAGTAGTAGTATTATGTTTTTTCCCTCAAAGAGGGCCTCTCCAAGTTGTTTAAGACCCAACCACTCCTGTCAGCGGAGAATGACAGGTGGTTGCTGTGACCCTGTGACCCAGAGTTTCTGCTGCCACAACACCCCCTCCCTCCCGGGGGTGCTGGTCACAGCTTGGGGCCTCCTAACACCAATCAGGAATGTGGGAGGGCCTCAGCCCCATAACACCCAGGCTGTGAGGGCCCCATCAGGTAAACACTAATTAGGGCTCACCACACCCTCCTGAAAAGCTCTGAGGGCTGAGAGAGCAGGCAGCGGGGAGGCCGCTTCAGACTCCTACCCTAGGCCTGGATGGCATGAACAGGGACTTGGGAGGACTTTTCTTCCGTGATCCCTGGCCATTGGGGTCACAATCCCCAGCCGTCTGCTCCCTCTACTCTTTGGCCCACCCACTGGTCATTCAGGGCTCACTGCCAAGCACATCAGTGACAAGGGGGAGGGAATAGAAGTTAACCAAGAGCTTGCACACGTGACCCCACCGACTATCAGTGACATGGCCAGGAAGGCATGGCTGTCCCCATTTTACACATGAGGAAACTGAGGCTCAGGTTGGGCCAGTGACTAAAGGGTGTGGCACATGGCATGTGGCTTGAGGCATCTCTCTCCATCCTGAATAACTAGGGAGGCAGCCTGGTCCCTTGAGCATGTGATACATCAGGGGCTGGTGGAGTGGCTTTCTGGAATTCTGGCTAGGGCCACCAGACACACCTCCCCTAGTGGTGGTGGCGTCCTCCATCTACTCTTCTAGGACCTCCTGGGGGGCACTGGGCCTCTGCAAGAAGCCAGACCCCAAGGTGCAGGGATGGCCAGGCTCCCTCCTGGACTAGTTGCTCCCGTGCTGGGCCGTTCGGGTGCTCAGGTGCTCCTGTGAGCAAGAAGCAGCTGACGGCAAGCCAGGGGTGACTGTGTTTCTGGTTAATGTTGTATCCTCCTCAGCCTAGGGCAAGGTACCATGATGAGGCCCCCACCCCCAACCCCTCAAATTTCTAGTGAAAGCTGCAGAGACTGCAGAGCTGAGGTCTTGGGGTCCAGTGGCCCCCACTTTACTGTGTTCCTGGCCTGAGCAGCCATCCAGGTCCCCAGGTCCCCAGGCCCTCAAGCCCCTAACGAGGCCACCCTGGGGATCCTGACCGGCAGGCTGGAAATCCTAGGCCTTGTCTGGGAGTGCACCAGTGCCAGCGATGTGGGAAGCTCAAAACTCAGGGGGCTGGCAGGGGTCCCCAGTTGCCTCTCATCCTGCAAAAAAATCAGGCCTCCTGCTTTGGGGGAGGGACATGTCCCAGAGCTGGCTTCTCTGTCCAGTCCCCGACCCTCACAGGGTCCCAGAATACAAGGTGTAGGGGTCTCATACTGCCAGAGGGGCAAGGTTGCCCTCACAGCGCTGGGGTGGCCCCACCCAGCCTCCTCCTCCTGCCTCCACCTATGCTGACTAACCAGCTGATCTCCTACTTGGCTTAGGCGGGGGCCCCATGCTCCAGAGCCCAGGCAGGCATCCCGGGCATCTATAAAAGGACGCGGGGCCAGGCGCCAGCATCCTGCTTGCTTGCCCCCTGTCATCTCACGATGCTGGGAGGCCTGGGGAAACTTGCTGCTGAGGGCCTGGCCCACCGCACTGAGAAAGCCACTGAGGAAGCTGGTAAGAAGCCCGAGGCTCCTTTCCACCGGGGCCCCTTCTCCTAAGGCTGGGAGGGCTGGGGCCCGTTGAAAGCGGATCCCAGCAGACTGGAGGTAGGCCTTGGCCCCTTGACAACCCTGGCCAGTCAGCCCCACAAGGACAGAATGGAAGTGAGGGGTATGGAAGCTGAGGAGGGCAGCCTGGGTGGAGTCATAAGGGGTCCAGTACCCCAAACAGACCTCTCCGGGTCAGACCCGTTTCTGGAGTCTGTGACTGAGAGCAGAAGCGACTCCAGCTCAGGGGACACGGGGAGAGCCGTGGTGCTTGGGTGAGCTTTGGGTAGCTAGAATCTGTCCGTCTGGAAACCTGGGAGCCCTTCCGTATCAAAAACAGCCTATTTTGATTATCATCTACAGAAAAAGGAAAAATGGATTTTTATTTTTACCATCAGTTTAGAGCTTCAAGCATTTCTTCACTAAGAAACCACCAAGTCTGATTCTGTTCAATGTCAGCCCCTAGGGTTTATCCAAAGGACATTTTGAATTTCTTTCAAGTCCCCAGAAACCTTTTCTTGTACACAGACTCCCACAACTGTATGCTGGAGATGAGTCTGGGTCCCAGCGGGCATTTTGTGAAACACAGCCCCGTGTCCGGGTTGGCCTCTGTGGTTCCTCCTGGCTGGCTGCGGCAGACACGTCTGTCTTTCATCGGTTAAGCTGCAGCTGGCCTTCCCTGCCCGGTCACACCTGCCACTGGCTCTGAGCTTAGTCCCACCCCCAGTCCGCAGGTGAGGGAACCAAGCAGCACACAGTGGAGGTAGAATCAGAATCAGTTCTTCTGACTCCAAAATCTTGCAGTTCTAGCCACTGCCACCCAAACGTCAGATTCCTGGGCGGTCAGAGAGTTCTCTCCTGCTGGAGGAATTGCTCTGGGGCCTTGGTTTTGCTGTAGATGGCTTTGGGACTTGGCCTCCCGCTGCAGCTTCCATCAGGCTGAGGCAGGCCAGCAGCGCGCCCGAAGGTGCCCTCATCTGGGAGATTATATAGATATATTCCACCTTGGCCCCAGGCCCCCAGCGGGCAGGAGGGCCTGCTCTTCTGCATTCCAGGCCTTGCCAGGCCGGCCAAGGGCCATGGAGAGCCCCATGCCTTTGTCTGGCTCACCTCAGCTTGTGTCCCAGCAGCCAGGCCCCACGGGAGTCTCTCAAGCAAGCCAGCTGGGGCTCCTTCCTATGGGCTGCCTCGTCCTGCCTGCGGTGATGTCCAGGATATCCAGAGCGGTCTGGGCGCCGCATTGAGAAGCAGCTGGCTTGTACTGTGTTTTCACTGTGGGCTTCTCCTCTTTGTAGTTCACGCCGTGGAGGGGGTGGTCAAGGAGGTGGTGGAACACGCCAAAGAAGCTGGAGAGAAAGGTACGGCTGGGGCTGGAACCAGGGAAGGAGAGAAGCTAGGTGCTGGGAGCAGTGGTTCTTTGCCTAACCAGGTCAAGCCCTGACCTTGACAATGCATCCTTTCAGGCAGTATGCAATTAGCAACACTCATCTGAGACCACAGACTGTACTTTGCTAAAGCAAGATCTATCCACACAGTCCTTTCTGGGGCACATTAAGACGGTGTCACAAACGACTATGTGGCAGCCGGCTTGGACAAAAAACATTTCAGACATAAAATTCTCTATTTATATAAATATAAATTTACGGAAGTGTGTGTGTGTGTGTGTGTGTGTGCGCGTGCTATAGTATAGTGATGTAAAAATACCTCCTTCCTTACAACAAAAGGGATTCTAGAGGGGTCAAGGGCTCTGTATTAAATATATGAAATTGTTAGACTGTTAGAAGAGAAGGTAATCTGGATTATCTGGGAAAGGATAAATTGGGTAATCTGGGAAAGGAGAGGATTGCTTTAACTATGACAGAAAACCTAACAGCCATAAAAGAAATATTAGGTAAATCTGACAATACAAGATTTCTAAATTTTCCATAATTAAAAAAAAAATGGGATGAGCCAAAAGAAAAACCACACACTGAAGAAAAGCATTTGTAAATAGAAATGATGAACTGATATAAAAATGACCAAAAGACAGAAGCAGGCAGCTGACAGAGAAATGAGGTCTGAGTAGGCAGTGCGCCCTTGAGGGGAGCAAATGCTGTCTCGCTCTGGACTGCAGAAACCCAAGTTGTGGGGGGAAATAAAACCACACTTGAATGCATTCCTCTGGGAGCCCCGCTGCCCTCTGTCCCACTGGGGCTCCTCCAGGGCACAGTCCAGTAAGAACCACATCCCACAGGCCACTCCAGCCCTACCAGCTGGAAATGTTTACTTAGCTCACCGGACTTTATTCTTCTTTCTTCCCGACAGCCATTGCCGATGCCTTAAAGAAGGCCCAAGATACAGGGGACAAGGTGGTGAAGGAAGTCACTGAGACGGTGACCAACACAGTCACAAATGCTGTCACCCATGCAGCGGAAGGCCTGGGCAAACTGGGACAGTGAGCACATCCACCTCTGAATCTCAATAAAAAGCTGTGAAATGTGTACACCGAGCCCTGGATTTTTTCCTGTTTGGATGGAAACCCTGCCCGTGTCCCCAGTGGCCACTCTGCCGGGGCAGGGGACCTGCATGTTGACAGCTTCTGGGGGTCAGTAGGACCCCATGGTTAATCAGTTGTGCTGCCCTCACATTATGACTTCTCACATCAGCAAGGAGTTCTGGAAGAATTGTTAGTGTCTGTGCAACATTTCAAAAATGGTTATTTTCCTAGACACTATATATAGCTTTCAGACACCTCTATGCTTCCAGGACATCCCAAGGGAGGAACATAATTCAACTCACATGTTCTTTGGGTTTTCCTTGAAGTGTTCCTATAGGCCTCAAGGAAGATCGCGGAACAACCTGATGGAGAGTGTAGTTGGGCAGCTTAGACTGTTTGAGATGCTTCACATTCTGAAAGAAGCATTTGAGCCGGACAGACAGTCATAGAATCAGGTCAAGTAGTAACTGAGTCCACTGCTTACTGGCCGCGGAAGCCACTGTTGGATCTTTCCCCAGAGACTTTTTCAGGCCCAATTGATAGCAGCGGCCAAGAACGCCTGTCCTCCGCCCCTTCCTGCCATGAGGGGTCAGCACCATAAAGTTAAACCTATGTGCAAGCAGCATTTAGCTTAACATTTTGGATTTTAAAAAAGGAAATGATTTGTAAAGAAGAGGCATCGCTTAAGTATCTTGCCGAAAATCACTTGTTCTTCGCAGAAATGAGAAGAAAAGATGTTTAAGGAGCATGTCAGTTGGTCACCACACGTCTGGCTTTTTAAAAGTGGCTTCACAAGTCTTGAACAGCCCAGGAATATCCAATGTCCTGGCTTGGAACCCTTGCCACTGTCCAGCTGGATCTGGACTCTATTTCTTGGTTTGGTTCCTGAAGGCTTTTGAATTCCCTTGGTCTAAATCCTAGCTCAAAAAAAGTGAGAGCATTGTGGGCGGCAGAATAAACTGGAGCCCCCTTTGGACAGCAATTTCTCTTGCCAAGACTTGATTCTTCTGGTGTACACAGGTACACACAGATGCCTAGAGGACGGACACACAGGTGCATCATGGCATGTCTGTAATAGCAGGAGGTGGAAACACCCTAGCGTGCCAGGCAGAAGTCAGGCAAATTTTGCTCTGCTTAGTAGGGTTGATGCCTAATTTAGATTCGACACCTCTTACTTCTAATGTATTGTAAGCCATATCCCAGCTTGAAAAAAATGGGACCTTGTCTAGAGGGCCACCAACAGGAACTGGTTAACAACTGTTGCATATATATATATATATATATATATATATATATATATATATATATGCAACATATATATATATATATATATATATATTCCATGTATATATATGGAATGTCCAGAAAAATGAGGAACATGTAATACACCATATGGGAACATGTCCACATAAATTACAAATTATGGAAAATACGTTTGTAGGAAGAATTCATTTAAGTAAAGCAAACTCAAACTTGTGGAAGAAGAGGAAAAAACTGGTAGCACGTATCTAGCAGACATATTAATACTGTTCCTCTCTGTATCCATGGGAATATGAGAGATCTTCATTTTTTTTCTTTTTTTAATATTTTACTTATTTGTCAGAGACAGAGAGAGCACAAGCAAGGGGAGCGGCAGACAGAGCCGGCAGGGGGAGAAGCAGACTCCTCACTGAGCAAGCTATCCAATATGGGACTCGATCCCTGGATCCTGGGATTATGACCTGAGCCGAAGGCAGACACTCAACAGACTGAGCCACCGAGGCATCTTAAGATATCTTCATTTTCTCCATGACACAGTTCCATGCTGCTTGAATTTAAGAGCAAAGCAACACAGACAGATTTTTAAATGTTGTTGAGAGCACATATTAGCTTATTCAAGATCATTTGCTGGTTAAGTGCTACTCAATGTTTATTAGCTTGCAAACCTTGTTATTGCTACTTGGTGACAAGATAAGTGAGAACAGAGCATTTAGAAACTTTTACAAAAATCTGATATTGCCTGGACTTCCAGGAGCGTGATCAGCAGATGATGCTTGTTGAATAGGGTAGAGACCAGCTCTGGGTTGTTGAACTTGCATGGCAAGTTGTATGTGAACTAGTCACATGAAGGAGGACCACGTACCCGATGTATTAGATTAGCAAACAAAGTAAAATTGGTCCTTTGCCACGGAGAGCTGAAGAAGCACTGCCCATGGTTCCTTAAGTTCACCTTGCAGTGTGCTATTCTAGAATAAGAACTTCTCCCACTTTCTCTTTACTGTCTGTTATGCAACGAGTGGTATGACATCAGCCTCGGACAAGCTCTAAATGTGTTAGAAAAAGCAATAGGTGGTGATGTCCAAGCAACGGGCAGAGCAGGACCTCCAAAAAATTTCCTTGTCCATAAAAGTAATGAGAAAACTGGCAAAAATATGATCAGAATCAAAAATTTTTTTTGTCCAGAATTCTTAACCAAAGGCTTACAGCAATCCAGGGAGCATTTATGTAAAACAAATTAAAAACAAATAAACAAAGTCTTAAGAATGGCAAGCTCTGTGATGTTTTTAAGTTACCCTAGTCTGTGCCCTACCCCCCAACCCCCACCTTCTCCAGTTCCATGAAAACCAATAGCCTAGTGGTTACTGGAAAGAGCTGAAGAAGCTTCATTTCCAGAAAACTGTGCTTATTTCACTTGATTGGTGGTTCCAGTTAAGACCTCATTGCAAAGCTGCCTTTATTTGTCTCACTAGGAGCTCACCCAATGTAAATAGCTTTTCCCCCGGGGTTGTTTGTCATAAAACAATTAGAGGCAATTAAAAAAAAGATTTCATTTACTTGTCAGAGAGAAAGAGAAAGAGAGCGTGAGTGCACAAGCAGGGGGAGCGGTAGGCAGAGGGAATAGCAGGCTCCACGCTGAGCGCAGAGGGAATAGCAGGCTCCACGCTGAGCAGAGAGCCCAATGCAAGATTCGATCCCAGGATACTAGGATCATGACCTGAGCTCAAAGCAGACACCAAACCCACTGAGCCACCCAGGCCTCCCTAGAGGCAATTTTTTAAGCTGGTGGCCTCACTGGATAACAGTTTGGGAAATCAATAGGCGAAACAAAGCAAAGAGCTTTGAAGGAAAAACTGGGGAATGAAATGTCCGTAGGGATTTCGAAAATTCCAGTACATTTCCAGGAATCTAGAAGGCCATGCACATGTGTAGGGCTGTGCATGTGCTCATTAAAGACTGGAAAAGGCTCAAAGCTCTCACCTCTAAACCTTGAGGCTCTGTGCAAGGAGGAAGTAAAAACCAAAGCAGAGATATAATCTGCCCAGCTGAGTTTTGCAGGTGAGGCTCAACCTGCACCGAGTTCCCTGGCAACGATGGGAGACCTACTGATTCTGGATAAATCTCTGTCCAGTCATCAGCTAACGATTAAGCTACACGAAAAGAAACTTCAATGGCAAAACACAATAAAGAAAACAGACTGTAGAATTATTTCAGAAAAGCCACTACACAAACACTTAAGAACAAAAAGCAACAAGGTATCTGGGGGGAGGGGTGTGGAATCTGATTTCAGAGTTGCCACATTATATTATTCAATACGTGTAGTTTTCAGAGAAAGAAAGTTATGCAAGGAAAGACATTATTACTCATTTAAAGGGGGGAAAATGGAAACTGTACCTAAGTAAGCCCAAATATTGGACTAATCAGAGATTTTATTTTTTCCCCAAAGAATTTAAATCAATTATTCTAAACATGTTCAAAGAGCTAAAGGAAACCACATCTACAGAATTAAAGTGTATGATCAATACCAAATAGAGAGTACACTTGGACAGAAATTATAGAAAAGCATGAAATAGATATTCTAGAATTGAAAGTACAACTGAAATAAAACAAGCAGATGTGAACAGGCTCATGAAAGAATCTGTGAACTTGAAGATATGTCAGATGAGATGATCTAACCTGAGGAACAGAAAGCCAAACAAATGAAGAAAAATAAAGAGGATCAGAGACACATGCATCACTGTACACCATGGGGGTACCAGTCGGAGAGGAGAAGAGGCAGGAAAAGTATTTGAGTAAATACTGGTTGAAAACAAATTTGATGAAAACCCAAGCAGCTCAACGAACTCCAAGTAGGAAGACCCAATTAGATGCGTACCAGGTATATCCTAATCAAACTGTTTGAATTAAGACAAGGAATCTTGAAACAGAAAAAGAAGGCATCACATAAAAGGGAGGTTCAATGAGATTAACAGGTAACTTCTCATCAGAAACCACAGAGGCCAGAGGCAGGAGGATCACCTACTCAAAGTGTTGAGAGAGACAGTCAGCCAGGAGTTCTAATTATTAAGCAACCACAGCCTTTTCACCCCACGTGGGCAGTCTACTTAACCCATATATGACCATGGCTCATGCTGCTGACTCTGTTGTCACCAGGGGAGACCTGGTGGCCCCAGGCCTTGGTCTGTCCCACCAGCATCATGACCTGCTGTGGGGTTGTCGAGGTCCAAATACCACCAAGTTCCTGCAACTCCCTGATTGCTGTGGTCTGTGCTAGCCCTCTGTAGGGGAGGCTTCCCAGTGGAGGGTACTCTCCAGGCAGCACCCATCTGCACTCCACTCACAGGATACTTGCTGTGAGCAGGCTTCATCAGAACCTTTGGCCAACTTGCAACTAGACTCCCTGGATGTTTCTGGGGGTTCAACTCTAAGTTAGCGGGTTTTAATTCATTTATTTTTAATTGAGGTGAAATTTACATAATATACAATTAACCATTTTCAAGTGTATCGTGCAGTTGCATTTATATATTCACAATGTTGTAAACCATCACTTAGTTTTAAAACTTTGTTATCACCTTGGGGCGCCTGCGTGGCTCAGTTGGTTGAGCATCTGACTCTTGGGTTTTGGCTTGGGTTGTGATATTGCGGTTGTTGGGCTGAGCCCTGTGATCAGCTCTGTGCTCAGTGGCGAGTCTGCTTGGGATTCTTTGATATCTCCTTCTTCCCCTCCCCCAAACTGTGC